ATTCCCCAGCCAGCATGTCTGGCTGGGGGATTCTGGGGGTTGAAGTCCACCCATCTTAAAGTGGCCAAGGTTGAGAAACACTGCTTTAAAGGAAAACCTCCTGTATCCACGACCAACACATTAACCCAGTCCAAAGGTTTCCAACCAGCACCAACAACCACTGTGTTATTTTCTCTCCAAAAGTGCTGCAAATGCATGACGAGACCAAAATAAGAAACTGCCACCACCAATGGCGGTCCCACGCGTCATACCTCTGCTGGGGCACAGGGATGTAGGCTGAGTGGTGCAAGGGGGTCTCGTCCAGGAGTCGCAGTGCCGTCACATCTTCCGCCGGCAGCTTCAGCACCAAAGGATCGGACGTGAGCCTCGGGTAGCCATTAGCAGGCTCCAATTCCGCTGGAAATGGCTTGCCGTTACAGTGGTTGGGGCTCTGCGAGAAGCAGTTGAAGACATTTTGAGTCACTGTTCCTTTCAAATCCAGCAACGTTTCTTGTTTATTATTTCAATGGACACAGCCGCCATCGCAATTGCATGACTCTGGGCGGTTTACAACCATTTCCAACTACAGAAAGAACAAAGTACGATCTTAAAACGTATAAAACCATATAAACTGAGTAACAAAATCCACAGCTGAGGTCTAAAAAACAATCTACGCTTAACACCACCACCATGCAGGCTTCACTACACATTCAGAACCCCAGCCCAGTGGCACAGCCATGTTAAAGACTTTACAAAAGCCAGCAGGGTTGGGGCCAATCTGATCTCCAGGGGGATGATGTTCCTTAGGTGAAATCCATAGGTTTGTGGGAATGACTTTCCACAGACAGGACAACCAGCGTGTAAAAGGTATCTCAGCCCACAGCAGGAGAGAAAGCGTGGGAAACATTTCAGAAGGGACCCTCCCTAGTTTTTCAGAGAGTAAAAGGAAAGGAGGGGGGGAAATACTTTCAGACTTGCAAGATTCTTTTAACATGACCTTACAATAAAGTTAGAACTACTACTCCTGGTTGTGCTTCTTCTCTGGGCTACCTCACAGGGGCAACAATAAGGCAGGGGCCATGACAGAAAAGGCTCTCTTCCTGGGCCCCACAAGATGACATTCTCTAACGGACGGGACCCGAAGCACGCCTCTCCTGACAACATCCACCCATCACTCTCCTATGGGCAATTTCCACCTGTCAGTGTTATTGCACACTGAGGAGGAATGCAAACATTGCAGCCTGCAGGTCAGCATCTATTCCAGGGTTTCTCGACATTCGTGTGGACTTCAACTTCCTGAATTCCCCAGCCGGCATGCTGGCTGGGGAATTCTGGGAGTTGAAGTCCATACATCTTAAAGTGGGCAAGGTTGAGAAACACTGGTCTATTCTGTGGTCCTCACACTGGATGACTGCAAAATGTTTGGCTGTGTGTGCGCGTGCGCCCATGCGCATTTGGGTGGGCATTGCTGAATTAAGGAGCAAAACGGGCTGTACACCAAGCAGTCTCTCCCCCCAGCATAAACTCCTACCTTCCCTTCAAACCCCCAGCCCACAATAGCTACCCCAAACCCAGCACAGCCCTGAATGCCATGGGAACTGCACCATGCTGACATTAGCGGCAGGACCCTGTTCACTCCTAATCCAACAGATGTTTTCTAAGCCCCCTTATTTCCAACCCCCACGGGGAACATGTGGGGCTTTTAGTCCAACCAATCTGGCCAACAGTGAAACTTTCCCAAAATGCTACGAAGTCCCTGCCTTTATCTTAGGTAAACAGAGCAGGTGTACACAGAGGCAGTGCGCACGCTCGCCCCAACGCCAACTGAAATTCAGACTCTGGAAGGGCAGCAAAGCCTCTGCAGCAGCGGCAAGCGTGTTGAAACATGGACTGCAATTCTTCAGCTCCGAGAATGTGTTCCCCACCAGGCTGCGAAAATGCAGCTTGCAACCAGTTGGGCTGGACAAACTTCCACCAAAGATGGCTCAAGAGTGCGGAAATCTTGAGATGCTTTCGCACAGCCTGCCCGGGCACGCTACACTCCAAAGAGTGGGAGGTGTCCCTTTTTTCTGGGCTCCATACAGCCACAGGAAAGACTGCCAGGAATTGGCATGCCCCTGAATAAGCAAGGCCAGGACAAAAATTGAATTCCATTGACACCGAAGCTTAACTCAGAGGAAGGTGCATCAATGAATACTGCTATAATTTAAAAGCCACTCTTCAGTTGAGCTCATTTTCTTGGCAAGAGTACAAAAGTTGTTTGCTGTCACTCTTACAGGATGATTTGTTGACATCCCACTTTGAAATCTCCTAGTGGCCTCCTATCCAGGGACTAACCAAGTCCAACCCTGGTTAGCTTTTCTGAGATAGCCTCAGAGCAACTCCTAGTGGTAACAGTAACATATCCGTGGAATTTCCTTGGCCACAATATGGAAGGGATGGCCACTGTCTTCCTCCAATAGTTTTTTGACTTCTCAAAGATTCCATGCTCCTGATATTCTCTGTAGGTCTCTCATCCAAGTACTAACCCAGGCTGGCCCTGCTTAGCTTCCCAAGGTTGACTAAGTGCTGCCATCTAGCTGGACTAGTTCAATTAGCACCCATGAATTGAAATGTTTTCTTGTCCTAGAGCTGCAAATTTCAGGGTAACTTTTGGAGGGGCTCTGGGGACACACTCATGGTTTGGGGGGGCATGCAGCCCTGACCTAAAGCTGTTGCTCAGCCTTTGGCAGCTAATGTATGTACGAATTTCAACACATGCCGAGTCCCCACCGCCCACCAACTACGTACTGCTGAGGGTCACAGTGCAGAAGGCCTAATAACACGGAGGAACAAGGGGAAAAAGAGACAAGCACAACGCAGGACGTCATTTTGTGTCTATTTTAATTCTGGGCTCTGAATGCTATTAAAAAGCACACGTGTCAAGCAAGCACCCTTTGAATAAATGACAAACAAGGGAACGCAACGTCAGCATTCACGCAAGACACATAACCCGGGCAGGGGGATGACCCAGCAGCTGCATTCACCTCACAGGTAAAATGGGTTCCTTTTAATCCGGGTGAGTTTCATGCAGATTAGCATCTTACAAGAACTGGGCCTGTGGGGTTATTTTAGGAGCGAAGGTATGGTACAAACCCAGGAAAAGGATGATGCCAGGAATTGGGTTAAGCGTGTTGCGCAAACTCAGCCCGAGTTTACTCTTTGCAGAAAGAATGAGAAAAACGATGCCAAGGTGAGGTTGGACCTTGTTTGCAGTCACCTGCAACAGGTACAGCCCACCTGCTCGCCACCCTGGCCCAAGCAGCCGGGAGGAACTGAGCCATTGCCTGTCCTGGAAGAAGAAAACAGCCCACCTGCAAAGCAGCTACACCCGTAGAACCCAAACCTATGTGTCTTGGATTCAAGGGATGACAAGCTCTGAACTCTGGGGTTAGGACTGCCACTTTCTGCCTCTGTTCAGAAGTCCAACAGGTGTAGCCCCTCCCTGCACAACAGCAGAAATCCAACAGGTGTAGCCTGCTCTTTTGCCGCTACCTACCGCAGCCAGGGTCACAGTCATGATTGGCACTGCCAATCAGCTTCCCCTCTCTTGCAAAGCCATCGCCCTGACCCTTTCGGCCAGAGACGTCAGGCATGTCTGCCCCCCCCTCAATTCCTATCCTTCCTGGTTTGTGGTCTCATCCTGACAAGAGAGATGGCTTGCAAATGAGATCATGCTGGAAGCCAGCTAAAACCTGCTCCTCCAAGTGCAGAGAATCCGTCGGCCCAGCTCTTGCAGAGGACCTCAAAAGCTGTCGATGAAACATGAACTGTTCGGTTCTGAACCCTCCTCTGGCTTGAGTTTTTTTTTTTTTAACTCAGGACTACTTCAGTCTAAAATGGGCTTCGTCCATTTGCCTCTGGAAGGCTCCAAATCGGGAAAGGCGACTCATCCACCCTCCCCACCAGCTCCGCTTGCAGAACCACTAAAGCCGCCGCGCGAGCACGGTTCTAGTCCTCATGACCCTCGCGCGGGGGGAGAGCTCGGATCTGCCCTGCGGGCTGGGGCTGGGAAGCGTCCGCCGCCACCCCCAGGTCCGGAGGCGCCCCCTTGGAGAAAGAGCGGCGCCCCCAGCCAGCCGGGGCTAACCCTTTCCGGAGACGCGCGCCTGGAAGCGCACCCCGACGATTGCCCCGCGTTCCCTCCGCGCCGCGCCCGGCACGGCCA